AATGCAGTGGAAACATTGTGTTATTAATTACATTTTACCGAATGAACTTCACTTAAAGCTTAATTAAAACTGTAGGAACTGAATTATGCTAAGGCAGTCTTGTAAACACAGCAGAATTAGGAGTTGTGTGTGAGTAGCTGGTTGCAAAATTGAAAATATCTATTATCACTGCTATTTTTTAAGAATATTTGAGGAGTCTGTACGTTGGATTCGGTACAGCTCTGTCTGTGTGACAGTGGCCATGCAGCATTGGCTTTCTAATTCTGTAGCTACTTAGGCTCATTTTATCCTCAGAGTTGATATTCCTAAATGGGGAGCAATTACCTTGCTTGCTGAGAGACCTGAAAAAACAAAGAAAGAACTGGGTTCTTATATCTTATCAAATACCAGTTTTCCTCATTAATGCTCTGCATGTTCTGGTGTCAGGTGTTGGCACATCTCTCTCATGACTAGTTACTCTGTGTGAACATAGCACTAGAGTATGATTGGAATTTAGTGTGATGAAAAGATCATGTCTGAATTATGGCAAAAATCCAATAGGCCGTTCATAGGAAAGCTGAGGAATTTTTCATATGGTCATTTAAAATATGTGTTTTGCCCCATTGTCACAGATGGAATGAAGAAGAGAGAGAGAGCACATCAAACTCAGCTGCAGAGTGGCCATCAAGTGGCTCTGGATATCAGCAGGAGCATGAATAGATGTTTAATTCACGTGTAGTTTCATACCCCAGACTCCTAGTTCTGATTATTTGTGTCAGAATGCATTTTTTTTCTGCTGCAGGCCTAGCCCTTATTTTTTATGTTCATGGAATTACACTTCAAGCTTTATTTTTATACCTTACTCATAATAAGTAACTGGCAAACTTTGAAGCTCTATTGCTAGAGCTCAATATTTAAAGCAGATTGCGCAGATGGGGTGTTTTTATCTGCAGTGTTACTCACCCAGAAGAGACGCTGAGTGTTAAGGCTGCTAAACCTTCCCTGGCACTCACAGAACTGATTGAATCTGGAGAGCATCAGCCCGTGGCGAGAACTCTGCCATCTGGTGGCCACGGGGGGAAGTACTGCGGCTCCCGGGGACAGCCCCAGCGCGATTCCAGGCAGGAGAAGCTGCAATTCTGCAGAGCTCCTTCCTCAGCAGCAGAGCTGAAACATTTTACCATTTGGCCAGTAGTTTTCTGACAGCAGATTCTTCCGTCAGAAAGTGCTGCTTTGTTATAATTGAAACTCTCTGTGGGAACATGTCAATGAGAAATTGAAATGTTCCGTTCCAAAAATACCCAAAGTCTGTTTGAAGATTTTTAGAGTGGAACACACTGATTTTCATTGCAGAATGATTTTTTTTTTCTTTAAAGTAATTGTTTTTGTAAATGATAAAAGCAAATTGAAATTGTCGTCTTTGTATTAATCATTAATGAAACCTCACATCATCACTAGAGCAAGTGGTAAGTGACCCCTCAATCTGTGTCTCACTGCTCGTGGTTGTGTACATATGCTCTGCAGGGAGAATACATCAAGAGTGTGACTATCTTTTCATTCAGCTAAGGGAAGTCAGAAATGGGAAGAAAGCTTTGTTTTTCTCATCTTCGCATCTTTATTTCTTCTATAGTAATTTTGCATTAATAACTTATAGTGCTACAGTAATTTAAAGAAAAACTGTTTTGAGCTTATACTCCTTTTTAATAATTCAGCAGGCACAAAGAATTCCCAGTTACAGCCAAATCATACCAGTCAATATTCAGAAAAAAAAGAGAAAAGAAGCAGAGAACTAAAGATAACTCTTAAGGCTTTGCTTCACTTAGCTTTGAAGTTTAGTCCTTGTCATGTGTTAAAACAAGAAGATTTTATGCATTTTATGCTGCAAGGAAAGGAGTGTGAAAAAAAGCAGAATTTGATTAGTGATTGATCCAGGAGTTATTATTTTTGTATCTTTCTTTAAAATGGGGCTCCAGTTAAGCTGGATGGCTTCTGAAAGGATAGTACCTTTGTTTTTAGAAAGAAAGGAAATACAGTGGTTCTGAATATATATCACCAGAGATGACACATATCTGTCTGTCTGTCTGCCTCTCCATACATCCCAGTATGGCAGCCAATTACACTGTCTAAAGTTGTTTAGATGCACATTACTGGGCTGAATTTATACTCATGGGGACAGTTTCTAATTTTGGACTTTGTTCCTGTTTCAGTATGATTTTTATGAAGCTTTTAAAGCAATTAGAAAAAAGGAACCAGACATTGGAGAGAGGAGATGTGCCTGTGGTGTCAGGGAATGCTTAGGTTCAGGAAATATGAGTTCAGTTCTGTGGCTTGTCAGGGACTCTCCTGTCACAATTGGAGAGTCCCTCCTGCACACATCGCTTGCCTTTTTTTATTTCTCTTACCTCCTCTCTCCAGTTCCTGTCCTTTTTAGCTCTTTAGCTGTGGTACCTTCATCTGCTTCTCCATCCCATTCACTCTCCATTTTTGCCCCTAATTTCCTATTTTCTTTTGTCCTTTTCACCACGTTCATATCATTCCACCCTGTCTCTGTCTCCTCCACTTGTGTGTCTTCTCACCTTTCCTTGTAGCTATATTCTATTTCAAGATCTTCCTGGACCTTTTGGGCCAAGATCTCCTGATCATGTTCATCCATCTGTTTTGCAATCTCTAAGTAGACTTCACCTATCTAGCTCTTCCTCACCACGAAGGTGATGGCAATAGAAGCACAGTGCACAAAAGAAGGATCCATTCCCAGCTGTTGAATGTGTATTCTTGGTGCCACAGCAGTGCCAGCAGCTGGGATAAGCAACTTCAGACAATTGCAGCTGTGTGTCAGTTTGTGTCAGCCCAAACCAGCACATTGTGTTGGAGGATACTTACACTGTGCTTTCAAGCAATGTGGTCTTCTACAACAAAGTCAGTGAAGATTTACCACTTGTAGAACCTTACCCAGGCCATAACCTTTTATGGGACTGAATAGCAGTTCAAACTGGTGAACTGATCTGGCATTAAAGTATTTATTTATTTATTGCTGTGTGGTTTTGTTTTTTTTCCCAGCTGAATAAGTTATTGGATCCATACAGAAGGAAAACATACTTTAATTTGCAAGAAATATTTGCTGCTTTTTGGCTAATGTATCCCACCCAAAACTCAACCTTTGGAAGATACCCAGAACAGAAAATTGAATCCAGTCTTGAAATTATGCACAACCTAATAATGGAAGGCAAACAAGTTTTAGGTGTTTCAAGAGTTTGTAATTTTGTTTTTTGATCTGTAATATTTGTGCTCTTATGCCATATGAAAATCTGCCAGTCCTAGTGTTTCTACTGTGTAGTTAACATAATGTGTATAGGGTATAATCAAACTGCTTTATTTAGGATTCTCTCAGCTGTCCCTGTTATTGCATCCAACAGAACAACCTTCTAATGATAGATGGTGGCAATATTAATTAACTTATAGAAATGGACAGGTGAAACAAGTTCTTTTGTTTTGTTTTGTTCTTTTAATCATTCAGTAAATTAGAGAAACATAATTTCACATGTCTAAGGGAGGCTCCCTTGCTCTGTAGTGACTTGCTTTTGTTTTACCCATATTTGGTTGAGATTCTTCATGTAATCTGCAAAATTCTTTCTGCCATTGTTTTAGACATAACACAGTGAGATTTGATGCCATGATTCACTTTATTCTTGTAGCAACTTGAGGCAGATGAGTTACACTGATTTACATATCTGCAAATATATGCAAATACACAATATTGCCATATGGTCTTAGGTCCCCAGAAGTGCTGGTGACCTACTTGAGTATTTCAGTTAACAGAATAGGAGCTTTTGCCTCTTCACATTTCACACATTTCAAAATACAGTATTTTTCTTACTTTCTATGTATCATTTCTGGAAAGGATCCTACAATGCTTGAATTATTGTATGGCATCTGTGAGAGAAAAGTCTTGCTCTTTGTTTCCTGCTGCAGAAGGCAAGAGATCCACATCTCTGAATTCTCTGGAAAATCCGTAAGAACCTGGAAGGCCTGTAATTTGTTTCCATGGTTTTCCAGGACATCTGGGGCGAGGAGATCCTGAGCGATCTGGCAACCCATTAAATAAAGAAGTATCAGAAGGAATTAGTGGTTCTGCAGGTGTACTGGTTTCCTTTCTTGCAACCCCTGGATTAACCAGCTCCAGTGCTGTCTCAGCACTGGATGATAGAAGGGTTTCATTTTGATTAAACCCCCTTTCATAGGACTCCTCAGAAGATTTGAGGTTTGGATGTTTATGTTTACCATTTTTACTGTGTTTTTTATGCCCACACCCATGGCCATTTCTGCGCCCACAACCACCTTCATGCCTGTGCCTTTTGTCAGACTCATGGTCCTTTTTAGATCCATGCCTGTGCTTATGCCTGTGCTTATGCTTGTGCTTATGGTCAGGTTCACCTTTGCCTTCTTGTTCCTGTCCATCGTCTTTCTTTGTTTCTTCTTCCTCTTTGTCAATACTGTATAAAATTGTATGCGGCTGATTTTGCAAACTAGAGCTCCGGAAAGGTGTGAATCCAGGAGGCATCCTTAAAAACACCTCCTAAAAAACATTGCGATAATAGCCATATTTGTTACATGACCAAGAACAATTGCTTCAGACTTGGGAAATTCAGAAGCTGAGACTCTTTGTAGTATATGATCATTTAGCAGATTTTTAAAGTAAAATAAATAATTCTCTTACATCTCTAGTAAGTGTACAAACATAAGCATCCTCCCAAATAACTCTGGAGTGTTTTAGCAGCTATATGTTAAAAGAAAAATTTCTAGATCGCTGAAATTCTTCTAGTTTAAGAGAGGAATGATACTACAGAGAGCAAAACACATGCAGTGGTTTTAATTTATGACCAATATAGTTGATTTCTAGGACTCAATGTCCCTGCATTTATTAGAGTATAACACTGCTGTGTATAAAACCAATTTATGCTAAAGGCTAACATCTCTGAGTAGTCTCAACATCAGAATATACAGATCTGTGCCATTTTGTTATATGAAATATAACCTCCATTTTTTGTTTCTAGATTTGACATATGCATTTCAGAATACTGCCTGGAAATGAGACACAGAGGTTAAAGCTGATAATATCAAACATTCAGTTGTTGCTGAGTAATCTCTACTTCCCCATCACCATTCAACTGGAAGACCAAGACTGAATGCATGGTGTGCAGTCACTGTCCAACGGGTTTCGCTTCTCCCCACCAAAGTCTCTGATCATTATCCAGCTGCAAATCAGAGTTATTTGGGATGGAGCTACATTTGAAAGTGGATACAATATTGTAGTGAAAATAGGAGACATTAGTTGATACATAATGAATGAATATGTAGTGATGAAGGTGCTGAGCACAGTGAAGTTACTCACTGTGAGGGCAGGTTGATCTGTCTTTATTCAGTGTAGCATGGGAGTCTCTGCATTTATTTAAAAACTCCAATCATCAGAAATTTCTGAGAATAAAAAATATTTCTATTCTATTCTGAGACTTTCAAACTGACCCATGTTCAGGGCTAGTTAATTGTGGAGCTGAGTAGGAAGAAACAGAGATCCTCCTGCTGAGGCTGATGACTGTGGCAGGATCTGCCACTCGACTAATATGAAAAGGTTCACAGATGCTTTGGAAATCTGTGGGGTATAATTATTGTGTTGCCAATTACACTTTTGCTTTAATTTTTAAACCTCGTATGAACAGTAATTCAAAGGAGCTGATGGGGCTTGATGCTTCAGAGCTTAACTGGCAATGCAGAGGAGCAGTGAACAGGCAGAAGGTTCTCCCTGTCCTCTTGCCTTTGTTTCTGTGATCACCTTGTTAGCCACTGTCTTACCTTGTGGTGAAACTGAGCTCAATGTAACAGGTTGCTGGCTAGAGGTGAGAGGGAGGAGTGTGGCATTACAGAGGTTGGTTAAAGAACTATGTGCTCCTTAACTTTTGATACAAAATATGGGACAATTTGGAATGGATGAAGAACTTAACGACTGCTTTTGTTCTATGCTGTACTTAGGATGATGAGTAATGAAAGGGAATCATACCACTCTCCGTTCAGAGCAGTTAACCTGGGGAAGTATTTTATCCTCCCATGGGATCACATGAATTTGTGCTTCACATGACAATGATACCTGTTGATGAAACAAAACCCAACACATTAAAGCAACAAAATATCAGACACAAAGGAAAGTTTTGACTGAAAAAAAATTTTAAATAATACTTCAAAATATTAGGAACTTTACCCAAATATTTATGAAATCTCTTTTAGTGATGGATACTTCTGTATTGGGACACATCACTGCTTAGCTTTTGAGGCTATAGTATGCCTGTGTGAACACTTTAATTCTACTTCGGATTTGAGATAGGATCTTGAAAATTGAATTTTTCATCTCCAGCATTTTTGGTGCACTGACTGTTTGATCCGCATAATATTCCTAAGAAATAGGGTTTGTTGATGGTATTTCTCCTACTGAAAATTGTGAAATTGAAATAAAGAGAAAGGCTTTTATTTTTCTTTTAGCATCTGCTGCATGAACAAATTTTAAAATCTTACAGGTAAGCACTGTTCATATGGTGGGAGAAGAGAGGGGAGATAAAGCCCTCCTACCCAAACAACTCCCTTGCCAACGGTTTCTGGCCCTATCATCATTACTTTCCAGCGTCCAGAGCACACTTTCCTGGTATCAGCAGCATGTGCTCCAGAAACATCATTCCTTTCCACACAAGTAACACTTTTGTCTCATGTTTTCCTAAGCTGCAAGTCCACAGAGTGGGGAGTATTGCAGCTATTCCATTTCAGAGCAGCCTCCTCCTCTCCTTGCTTTGATTCATTGTTATCAAACCAAAGTTCCTTAGGCTTTGCAGTGAGCACTGATCCTGCAGCTGGAGTGACTCAGATTAAGCTTCAGGGTTTCCTAAAGCTGACTGACTTGGGTTACAAGCAGTGAAAGGTGCCCTTCCTGTTGAAACAAAAGTTCACTGAAAGAGGTAACAGAACTCAGGACGTGATTTTACTTAAGCATTTACAATTTCTGGTGCAAATGAACTTGTCCATTAGGAACATTACAGTTGGCAATATCATCGTTACTTACACTGCTTGTTGTGGCTTCACAGTCTTCATGAAGTTTGTCAAACTCACTCTTTGAGCAGTTTGTCTTCCAGATTGTAAATTTTACTTGATACTTTTTTCCTGCAACCACCTGAAAAATTAGCAAGAAATCTTTCTGTGCTAAAGGCATTTGTTTTGTAAAGGGTTCACAGGAAAGATGGTTTTCTACAAGCTTATACTACTTATATTCTACAAGTTCTAACCACTGGGCCAACATATGTTAAGAACAACATTAGAATATTTGTCAGTAAACCTGTCTGCTTCTAATCAACTACCCTACTCCAGTTCCCATTCTCAAAAGTTCCTGCATTGAAGCTGAAGGAAACAGAAAGCTCAGAATAATATTAGGCCCACAATTTTGACTTTGTTTTATTGGATGCCTGTAGTAATTTCATTAGTAACAGATGAAATCATTAGAGATAGCACTGTAGAGAGCCAAATATGATGTAAGAAAAGTGGAATTTGAGTATAACAAAGTGTGTGATGAACAAGCTCAGATGAAAATGAACCTATTTGCCAAGCACATTAAGGAGAGAAACTGTATGGGTTCAAGAATGTGCCTGCTGTGAGTTCTCTTAGTATTTTTTCACAGAGCTTGAGATAATATATCTTTCTTGAGAGACAGCAGGCAAAACATGAAATTTTGTCTCTTTTAAATCAGTTTTAAAAATGTATGGATGCTAATATCAATCATGATATGAAAAGTTAGAAGGAAGAAAAAAGTTTAAAAGAAGAAAAAGCACAGATATTAGTAAGTTATTCAGAAAAACTCTGATGTGCTTTTAGTGCTTTCTCCAGTGCTACCACTCATGCTCAGGAGTAGTTGTTGACCAAGTATTTTCTGAACTACTCCACTTTCTGACTAATTTTCAGGCCTATCCTAAACCTCTGTTGTGATGTGTTGAGACAGTAAGCAAGATGCAAATGCTGACCAATATTATCCTTCTGATTCCTTGTTCTTCTTCCTCCAGCTCTATTTATCTGCATATCCTAAGTTTTGGACAGATATCCTTTTCTGAATCTCGCTGAAATCTTCTCAATTTCTAAGGGAAATTGAGAAGACTAATTTCTTGGGCCATAGAGCTGCTGTAGGGTGGACACTGCCTAAAACAACATAGAGAGTATTGGTCTGGTGGATCAAGGGAGTAGTTCTGCCTAATAAAACTCTTATACTTTAAAAGTCTGAGGTATGTTACAGAGGCTGGTAAAAAGTGGGGTAGATACATGGAGATTAGATACCCTAACTCAACCTTCTTCCCATGCTTTAAAAATATTTTTATTTTAAGAAAAAGTTCAAAATTCAAGAGACGGGAGATTTTTGAATCATTTCTGAATGCAAACCGAGATGCATAAAATTCTGCAAGAAGAAATTGCATCGATTTTTCAGTTACCACATGTATCAACACTTAGAGAAAAACATTATTTCAAACCTAAATACCAACTTGAGCTAACATTCAGCTCACACCAATAATAATGTCATGTCTGTTCCTCATCTCTGTGATATATCCCAACCTGAACTGTTGCTGATTGTATTTCTCCATCTTTATAGTAGAAATCATCATTGCTCTCTGAATTATACTTCTCCATAGAAGCCTTCAGTACTTTCTTCAGCTCTGGACTGTCTTTTGGGATAGTCATTGGACAACCAGGGCAATGGGCAGCAAGAACCTTTTCATCCACTGAAAGAGACCAAGAAATTTCAGATCTAAGAAACAACAGATTCAGTGTAGCTAAAGCCTGGGAAAAACAGTTATAAACCCCTGTCTTATGGAACATTTCCTGTCTGGGTCTGTGAAATGAAACTAAAATATCTTTGAGTTTTATGTGATCAGCAGTATCACATCTTGGTTACCTGAATGAGCACTGCAACAGCACCTACTGCCACGTGGGACATTCAACAACAGTTTTCTCACAGAAACAGGAATTGTGTGTGCCATTTGTGTGGGTAGCCAGGGAACACCTACACGTATGGAAAGATCTGACCTAGGTTAAACAAGAGGTGCATGAAATTCACAATGAATGTGTGTGTTGAAGAAAACCAAGCCTGAATGGGTGAGAATGTGGCACTTACTACAGGGAGTAGTAAGTTGTACTGTTCTAAAGCTCTGAAACTGTGATAATCTGTATCCAGATAGATGGGTGGAGGGAAAATTAACAATAAATAACAGTTTAAAAAAACCCTGAAAATTGCAGAACTTTTAAAACTGATAGTGCCTATGACATACCTGGAAGATTGCATTGGCTTGAAGTATCTATGAGGTGTCCCTGTACATTCTCATATCCTCTGCCTTCACATTTGCCCACACGCTGGAGTGAAAAACACAAAGCAGGTGCTTGTTATTCAGAAATAACAAACTAGCTCACAGCCTAATACCTTCCTGCTAAGAGAGTAAGTCAGGCATGCTACAAATAATTCCTTCCTTCCTTCCTTCCTTCCTTCCTTCCTTCCTTCCTTCCTTCCTTCCTTCCTTCCTTCCTTCCTTCCTTCCTTCCTTCCTTCCTTCCTTCCTTCCTTCCTTCCTTCCTTCCTTCCTTCCTTCCTTCCTTCCTTCCTTCCTTCCTTCCTTCCTTCCTTCCTTCCTTCCTTCCTTCCTTCCTTCCTTCCTTCCTTCCTTCCTTCCTTCCTTCCTTCCTTCCTTCCTTCCTTCCTTCCTTCCTGGGAGCCAGAAGCCTGATAGTCTGCAGAGCCAATAAAAGATCAGGGTTCAGAAGGACCACTTGGAGATAATAAACCATAAAAGAGAAACTAAATGAACTATTTGTATGTGTTCTTTACAGAAAAAAATGAGGAGGTTTACAAGCCAGAATCCTATTTTATGAAGAATTCACTGGAATTTCTATCTCAAACTGTAAAGACCAAATAGAAAATTACTCAATTATCAAACCAAACATTACTGAGTTTCTTGTATTAACTCAGGTCTTCTAAGGAACTGTGGTGGATGACTTGCTTAAAATTGCCTTGATATCTTAGGGCTGGAAGAAAGCAGATACTGATCCTGTTCTCTTTTACAAAGTTATAGAGCCATAAAATTGATGTCTGCACCATTGCAATGATTAGGAATTGTAATAAGGAAAGAACTAGAGGGAATGAATATATCAAGGACAGACTGGGGGGTTTGTGGCAAACAGGAGTCATATTTTCCAAATTTGTCAAAGTTCCTCAAAAGCATCAACAAAGGTGAGTAAAGAGACCTGTTGTAAAATATACATAGATTTTGAAAAAGATATTGGTGAAATCCTTTATCAAAGAATCTAAAAAACCCTAATTAACTGTAGAACAAGAAGGAAGTCATACAGTTCAGGATCAAGATCTTAGGGCTATGTCAGACACTTGAAAATGAAATCCCTAAAAAATCTGCTGTAAACTGTAAACATTTCAGTGATCCTCTTAGTCAGTGATTCAGTAGACGACATGGATGTTCTAATGGCACAAATAGACTCTTATCTGTAAGAATGGATTTAAACTTCATTCACAAACAGAAACAAGAGTATAAATATTTTCTTGAGTCAGATCTCAATGATTACTTGTTAACATGATGTTTTCTTGATAAAGAGATTTTGGAGATTACTTACACCTCTAGAAGTGACTTTGCACTCTGGAGTTAAATCGTCAAACTGGTCTTTGGAGCAGTTAGTCTCCTCAATTTCATATTTCATTCTATAATTCATTCCAGCTACCACCTGGAAGAGATATTTAGGGTATACATTATGTAAACCAATACAAACCTGGAAGTTAAACTATTATATGTGATTAGCAGAGAAAGCAAAACTACTCTTCTAGTGCCTTCCATCCATCAAATCCCTTTGTAGTCATGAAGCCACAGTGTGTTCATGGACAGCAAAAAAATCTTGTCCTTGTAATACAAAATGTAAACTAAGTTCTGCATATATTAGATGTGTGCTTTGTATTTGGTTTCCACACCTCCTAGCAAGCCTGCAGCCTCATACTGCTTGATTTCTTGCCGTTTCCTCCAAAGTATCTGTTACTGATTACTCCCAGTGCCAGAAAGTTGGCCTAAGCAGACGACTGCACTAATCCAGCCTGGCAAGTCCTGTGTTCCTGAGCATGGGACACAGTAAAACAATACCTGAATAATATAACTTTATACTGCTGACATCACTTGTTGTAGAGTGTCCTGCATTTATCATCTACCCATAATTGTGTCTATCCTGGACTTTACCTTTCCCCACATGCTGTTTTATCCAGTTTTGTGACCCTGTTTTTTCATTTTCTCTCTGGAAATAAAAAGGATCTGTTCAAAGAAAAGGGTCTGTATTTGGTGTCAGGTTATGTAGTAGTTGAAAACCAAATAACAAGCTTTACATTCTAGCCACATCACATCAAGCCATAGGAGAGCTTATCACAGGGAAAGAAAGCATTGTTGCATGGAATACCAGATGACACAGAATTTCTGTTACTTCAGCAGTCATTTCTTGCAAAGCAGATATCCCTGTGTGCAGAAATCTTTCAGCAAGTGGCATGCTGGTTTTGCTTTTCTTACCCAGTTTTCCTCTGTGTGGTTTACCTGTCCTATAGCATATAGCAGCTGCTGACATATGGGCCCTATTGCCTTGCAAAAACATAGGTGCCTGCTGCTGTTAGAGAGGCTGCAGGATATGTGAGACATCTGTGCAGGCTAGCAGTTTTGGCACAGACCCTAGGAGAGATCTGCTCTTGCTGGAGCCTCAGGGAGAGGCCAAGTGATGTACCCAGGAGCATCTCAGGTGACACAAGATCCATGAGACAGCACTGAATGCAAATAAACTGGTGCTGAACACTGGTTAGATGCAACTGCAGATAAAAAAATGTGTTTACTATCAGTTGACAGCTCTGAAAATCCAGCAGATAACTGCTAATGATTCCTTATAAATGGAGATAATTATTTATGGAGTCTACACTCATAAACATGTATACAAAACAAACAAGGTATGTGGTTTGGGTTGGCTTTTTGGGGTTATTTTTTGGTAAAGTTTAGAGAAAAATCATGCACAAACCTGACTTTCAGCTTGTTTTATTTCCACAACCTTGAAAAGGTTGGGTTCCTGACTCTGGTTGTTAAAGTGTTGAATGACTTTTTCTAGGATTTTTAGCACTCGTGGAGAGTCATTTGGTATAGGAACATAGCATCCAACACATGGAGACACAGTAAATCTTATATTTGGTGGATCTGGAAAAGAAACAAATGAAAAAAATTATAATACTTCATATAAAGCAGCCTTAGGTTTTCATTTTTCCTGTCTGGGAATGAGAAAGAACCTTTTCTGCTTTTAACTGGCATGATGAGCACATCCCACATTCCAGTTTCAAGGTCTGCAAAGACATTCATTGCATTTAGAATCATGCCCTGGTTTGTGGTGGCAGGAGCCATGAGTGGCATTAGGATCCAGGCATGGCTTCAGCCGTGAGCTCAATTTGAGCCATCCCTGAATCTCAGAAAAGCCTTGCATGCAGTTTTGACACCACTAGGGAAGAGTCATTACTCTGTCAGTCAGGTCAGAGACAGTGGAGGCTACAACTAAGTTCTGCAGATTCTTCAAAGCTCACCCACTGTGCACAGCTGCTTGCTGTCCTCACCATGTTTC